GTGTGTGTGTGTGTGTGTGTGTGTGTGTTAGATAGCGAGTGGAGGCAAATGATTTTTACAACTGATGTGTTGTGATGAATGGTTTGAAAAACCGACAAGTTGAAGATTGAGACACTTATGCAACATATGGGAATCTTTATTCAGGAAACGTTTCGCCACACAGTGGCTTCATCAGTCCAATACAAAGTAGAAAGGCGTAAGGAGAGGAGGAGTTTGAGGTAATCAGTCCCTCAGCCTGGAGTCGATGTGTTCAGTCGATGGACTGAACACATTGACTGAACACATTGACTGAACACATTGACTGAACACATTGACTGAACACATTGACTGAACACATTGACTGAACAAATTGACTGAACACATTGACTGAACACATTGACTGAACACATTGACTGAACACATCGACTGAACACATCGACTGAACACATCGACTGAACACATCGACTGAACACATTGACTCCAGGCTGAGGGACTGATTAATTCAAACTCCTCCCCTCCTTACGCCTTTCTACTTTGTATTGGACTGACAAAGCCACTGTGTGGCGAAACGTTTCCTGAATAAAGATTCCCATATGTTGCATAAGTGTCTCACTCCACAACTGATGTGTTGTTGGAGTGTGAGCCATGTAACATTTATGAAGAGATTTGAGTCCTGGAGATGGGAAGTACAGTGTCTACATTCTGAAAGATGATTGGAGATATGTTGCAGTTTTCAAACTGTAGTGTTGACACGCCTCTGGCAAGACAGTAATGGAGTGAATGGTGATGAAAGTGTTTCTTCTTTTCCAGGTCACTTCCCTGCCTCAGTGGGAAGCGGCCAATGTGTTAAAAAAAAAAAATGTACTTGTGTCTAAATAAACTTACTTATCTACACCTCTGATTCCTAATGGAAGAAATACAATTTTGCCCAAGTGAATGTTTCTTACCCGCAACATTTCTGACAGGATAAATACAAAAGCAGTGTTCATATTAACTTTATCAAGTTAAATATTGAATAAACTTTCCAGCCACTGCTTCTGTGATTCATTAACAACTCATGGGTATTCCCACACCATCTAGTGTTCCGTTTTGCTCTGGGTCGAGCAGAAATTTAAACATTTACTATTTTATGCAAAACCTACAAAATACTTTCAACTTGTCCCAATGTAATATCCCCAGGTTGTAACTTAAGTAAACTTACTGTCTACTATAAATGAAACAAATGTACGACTTAAACTATGATCAGTTTCTCTAATATTAAATAGTCTGTAAGCCATTAACTGTAGTCTGCCCATAATGCCTAGGCATGATAGTGGCTCCGCACTGTAACTTATTATTGTGTTTACATAATCTCAGTGTAATCTTGCAAGGATATAAAAATGGTGGCCTGGTGGCTAAAGCTCCCGCTTCACACATGGAGGGCCCGGGTTCGATTCCCGGCGGGTGGAAACATTCGACACGTTTCCTTACACCTGTTGTCCTGTTCACCTAGCAGCAAATAGGTACCTGGGTGTTAGTCGACTGGTGTGGGTCGCATCCTGGGGGACAAGATTAAGGACCCCAATGGAAATAAGTTAGACAGTCCTCGATGACGCACTGACTTTCTTGGGTTATCCTGGGTGGCTAACCCTCCGGGGTTAAAAATCCGAACAAAATCTTATCTTGTCTTATCTTATCTTACTATGCAAAAATAACCACTGTAAAAAAAGAATAGTGGAATTCCAAGTGCTTTCATGATTTCTCACATTATTCCTCGATAATGTGAGAGATCGGAAAAGCACTCGGAATCTCACTATTTTTTCACTGTAGTTATTTTGCATATTGTGATATCACTTGTTTACTGTGATGTTATTGTGATCTTAATATACATTATTTAGGTATGCATACTGGTCAGAGAGCCCGTCGTAAGTCTGAGTCATCGGTAATTGAGCACGTCGCTAAGTGAGGAGAGGTTGTATACTTATACAGTGGACCCCCGCATAACGATTACCTCCGAATGCGACCAATTATGTAAGTGTATTTATGTAAGTGCATTTGTACGTGTATTTTTGGGGGTCTGAAATGGACTAATCTACTTCACAATATTTCTTATGGGAACAAATTCGGTCAGTACTGGCACCTGAACATACTTCTGGAATGAAAAAATATCGTTAACCGGGGGTCCACTGTATGTGCAAAGTAAACAATGAAAAAATTGTGAAATTCCTTGATAATGTGAAAAATCACAAAAGCGTGCTTGGAATTTCACTATTTTTTTAATTTTGGTTATATTGCATATTGTGATATCACCTGTTTATTGTGATCTTATTGCATACTTATATATATACAGGCAGGCTCCGCTAATACAGCAGGTTAGGTTCTGGGCTATTGTAGGGTGCTGCTTATACAGCAGGTTAAGTTCCAGGCTACTGTAGGGTGCTGCTTATACAGCAGGTTAAGTTCCAGGCTACTGTAGGGTGCTGCTTATACAGCAGGTTAAGTTCCAGGCTACTGTAGGGTGCTGCTTATACAGCAGGTTAAGTTCCAGGCTACTGTAGGGTGCTGCTTATACAGCAGGTTAAGTTCCAGGCTACTGTAGGGTGCTGCTTATACAGCAGGTTAAGTTCCGGCTACTGTAGGGTGCTGCTTATACAGCAGGTTAAGTTCCAGGCTTTCTGTGGGTGCTGCTTTACAGCGGTTAAGTTCCAGGCTACTGTAGGGTGTGCTTATACAGCAGGTTAAGTTCGGCTCTGTAGGGTGTGCTTATACAGCAGGTTAGGTTCCAGGCTACTGTAGGGTGCTGCTTATACAGCAGGTTAAGTTCCAGGCTACTGTAGGGTGCTGCTTATACAGCAGGTTAGGTTCCAGGCTACTGTAGGGCTCTGCTTATACAGCAGGTTAGGTTCTGGGCTATTGTAGGGCCCCACTTACACAGCAAGTTAGGTTCTGGGCCCTACAATAGCCCAGAACCTAACCTGCTGTATTAGCGGAGCCTGCCTGTATGTATATAAGTATGCAATAAGATCACAATAAACAGGTGATATCACAATATGCAATATAACCAAAATTAAAAAATAGTGAAATTCCAAGCGCGCTTTTGTGATTTTTCACATTATCAAGGAATTTCACAATTTTTTCATTGTTTACTTTGCACATATAAGTATACAACCTCTCCTCACTTAGCGACGTGCTCAATTACCGATGACTCAGACTTACGACGGGCTCTCTGACCAGTATGCATACCTAAATAATTCATATTAGAGTTGATTTTCTCTATTCTGTTTAATACAATATACAGTACACTACTGTATAAACATTCAAAAATGTGCCAGGTATGTTACAAATGGTGCAAAGGTGACATTAAAACAGTATCAAAGATGGTTGACACAAACCCACCACCATTATAGTATGTTCCTCACTTAGTGACGAATTCGTTTACTGACATGGTCCTAGGAACGGAACTTCGTCGTTAAGTGAGGAGAGGCTGTATATACTCTTTTATCATATATTTTCCGTTGCCCAGATATAGCCCACTGTGCCAGTGAAACATTGTTATTAATGCAGTTATCCACCTCGGTGGTATTTACATAACATTCTAGTTCCAGGTTCATATTATTTCCTGCTAAATCATTTATGTAAAACTGAAATGTTTTGGAGGCAAGTACTGATCCTTGAGACACCCCACTGGTTACATTTTCCCATATAATAATAGTGTAATAATAATAATAATAATAATAATAATAATGGCCAGTATTTTGTTAAGGTTCACGAAAGTACGTTTTATTAAGGCAATGCACTTGTCTTACACACTAAGTGGCCATGGTTCATAACCTGGCATGGGTGGAAATGTTGGGTATGTTTCCTTACACCTGCTGTCACTGTTCACCTAGCAGTAAGTAGGTACCTGGGTGTTAGTTACCTTACACCTGCTATCAGTGTACCTGGGTGTTAGTGGACTGGTGTGGGTGACATCCTGGGTGTTAGTGGACTGGTGTGGGTGGCATCCTGGGTGTTAGTGGACTGGTGTGGGTTGCATCCTGGGTGATAAGATTGAAGGATCACAATGGAAATAAGACAGACAGTACTTGATGATGCACTGACTTTCCTGGGTTATCCTGGGTGGCTAACACTCCCTACCCTGGGTTATCCTGGGTGACTAACACTCCCTACCCTGGGTTATCCTGGGTGGCTAACACTCCCTACCCGGGGTTATCCTGGGTGGCTAACACTCCCTACCCTGGGTTATCCTGGGTGACTAACACTCCCAACACTCCCTACCCTGGGTTATCCTGGGTGGCTAACACTCCCTACCCTGCGTTATCCTGGGTGGCTAACACTCCCTACCCTGGGTTATCCTGGGTGACTAACACTCCCTACCCTGGGTTATCCTGGGTGGCTAACACACCCTACCCTGCGTTATCCTGGGTGGCTAACACTCCCTACCCTGGGTTATCCTGGGTGGCTAACACTCCCTACCCTGGGTTATCCTGGGTGGCTAACACTCCCTACCCTGGGTTATCCTGGGTGGCTAACACTCCCTACCGGGGTTTTATCCTGGGTGGCTAACCCTCCCTACCCTGGGTTATCCTGGGTGGCTAACACTCCCTACCCTGGGTTATCCTGGGTGGCTAACACTCCCTACCCTGGGTTATCCTGGGTTGCTAACCCTCCCTACCCTGGGTTATCCTGGGTTGCTAACCCTCCCTACCCTGGGTTATCCTGGGTGGCTAACCCTCCCTACCCTGGGTTATCCTGGGTTGCTAACCCTCCCTACCCTGGGTTATCCTGGGTTGCTAACCCTCCCTACCCCAATGGAAATAAGTCACTCTGTCTCTGTTGGGTTATCCCAGGTTCTCTACACATATGCTGCTATGAATGATAATCTTTGTATTTGTGTATACCTGAACGAACTAACTTACCCAGGTTATCCTGGGTGGCTAACCCTCTTGAGTTCAAAATCCCAACAAATCCCAGAAATAAATTTTTGGCTAAGGCCCCATATTATTGAAATTAAAATTATAAAATCTTCTATTATATTTCAGGCAAGTGAGCCAATGAGGTAACAAAGATGGGAACATTCCAGAAGTTCTGCTTGAGGTGGAACAACCATACCAGCAACCTGTTAGGAACTCTAGGTCACATTCTTACTTCAGAGCAACACACCGATGTGACTTTATGCTGCCAAGGTAATGAGAACGTAGGAATGGAGCACTGATGGTAGGCCTATCTAGGCCTGTGCTAGGTAGGTTCAGTTCATGCCCACCCATACCCACTCTCACACTCGTTCAGAATATAACGTGAAGTATTAGACACGTACAACATTTGGGTATCTTTATCGTAGACATTGCACCATCCAGTGGCTTTATTAGTATAAATTCAAAGACAGTAAAGATGAATATTTTATTTCTTTGCAAAGGTTACAATGTGTAATTACAATTTTGATTTAAGTACAAAGAAAGCCACTACAGTGGTACCTCGAGTTACGAACTTAATTCGTTCCGGAAGGCTGTTCAAGTCCCGATACCAAACGAATTTGTTCCCATAAAGAATAATGTAAATTAGATTAGTCCATTTCAGACCCCCAAAAATACCCTTACAAAAGCACTTACAAAAACACACTTACATAATTGTTCGAGTTGGGAGCTGTTCGAAACTCGAGGTATCACTGTATCATGCTCGGGCATTTTGGCAACACTAATCCTAGTACATAATAACTACTTAAGTCTAGATGAGATAAGAGTGGTTAACCCTTTTAATAAATCTTAATTTTATCTTAATGCTAATGCAAGGTAGTCGAGGTGGAGGCTCAGAAGAATAATAATCTCGTATATGCACATAAATAACAATATTACAATTAATGGTTCAAACGGTACTATTATATGGATTGGCAGATGTTTTAATAAACTAGAGGTCATATAATACAGTGGACCCCCGGTTAACGATATTTTTTCATTCCAGAAGTATGTTCAGGTGCCAGTACTGACCGAATTTGTTCCCATAAGGAATATTGTGAAGTAGATTAGTCCATTTCAGACCCCCAAACATACACGTACAAACGCACTTACATAAATACACTTACATAATTGGTCGCATTCGGAGGTGATCGTCAAGCGGGAGTCCACTGTATTTGGGAGAGTTGCTTCATACTGATTAGAAGTTGTGTTGTTTAGTATTGAGAGATGAGATGATTTTTACCTCTTAAACTGTCCAAACGTAGATCTGCATTCACATGCGTAGCGCTCCGAACATAGATCTACGTGTTATTTTACTTACTTTCAAGTGTTAAAAAACGTAGATCTACGTTCGGAACGCAACTCATGTGAACGTAGATCTATGTTTGCACAATGTAAATGTTAAGCATATCCCTAAACTTGTATACGGTCAGGAGATCTTTTACCGATATAGGTAGTAAATTCCAGATCTTCGGGCCCTTTCTCTGCATTGCCTTTTTGCATAGTGAGAGACTGACATGAGGGATGTCTCAGAGTGCTTTGTGCCTTGTACTGTGACTGTGCATTCTGTTGTAGCTATCAAGGAGAAGTTTAAGCGGAGGGTTTATATTGGAGTTTAATGTTTTGTATTAATGTTTAATGTTTTTGTATTATAAGTGTATGTCTCATATATCAATCCCTCAGGGACTGATTACCTCAGCGTCTGTATGTAGTTCTACTGTCTTCAGATTATGTCCTAGAATTTGTGTTGATAAAGTCACTGGATGACGAAATGTCTACATTAAAGATACCCACATGTTGCACATGTGTCTAATTTCATTTTGTACCTTTGTTACTGACTAACTATAGCACTGATACAGCTTGAAATTTGTTCGAAAAATTGGTGGGGAGGTGTAAACCTAGAATGGTATACTTCCAGAAATAGTCTTCATGTGTTATACCTGGGTACTGTGTACCTAGTGAGGGAAGTGTAAACCTTGAGTGGTATACTTCCAGAAATAGTCTTCATGTGTTATACCTGGGTACTGTGTACCTGGTAAAAGCAAATATCAGAATATAATCAGAATTTATCATTGATAAACCAGGGAACAAGTGGGTGTTGAACCTACTGCAAGTGAGCCCCAAAACTCGCAGGCCAATGCATTTCGGGACTTCTTTGCAGTCGTTAGTTTAGTTTAATATGTACCTTTATTATGCTCCCCATACCCATCCTGTGGGCAGTAGTCAACAGATTACAGAGGTACATAATGGGTCCAGGGACTGGGCCCCAAAGTTTTGATAGCTGAGCAAGTTTCAGAGGTAATGAACTTCATGACTCGTTTGCAGTTGTGTTATGTTTTTGTGAGTTATTGTTGATGTTGAGATACTTAAGTAACAGTCATTAAGTGAGTGTAAGACCTAACAATTCCATTTCACCACCCACGCCTGTCAGTGCAGTAGAACCCTCATATCCACTGATTTGGTATTTGTGCTTTCAGTTACCCACGGTTTACTGTGGCCCAGAATACCTTTTAATTTTGTATAATAATGGCCCCAGAGTGCAATAGTAGAGAAGCTGACAGTTCTTCAGAGTCTAAGAGAAGCTGTGAAGCGCTTCCCATCAGTCAAAAAGTGATAATTCTCCACCCATTGTGCATAATTTATCAATTAAACTTTATAATATGTATGTATAGGACTTGTATATAGGGTTTGCTACTATCCACGGCAGGTCCTTGGAATGTATCCCTCGCAGATACTGGGGTCATACTGTACTTCACTATGAATTTCCTACTTATTAGATTTGCACATCCATGCTACTTGATATCTGTGCATATTATACATAATGTATCTTATGTATCATGTGTATCATATTGATGTTCTGCATCTGTGTATGCCTTTATTATATATCTACAATCATTTCAGGAGAGGTTTGGAGATTGCACAAACTGGTGCTGTGTGCATCCAGCAGTCACTTTGAAAATCTGCTTGGTGCACTACCCCCAGGAAACTCTCCAATTGTTGTGCTGGATGGTCCTCACCCGCAAGACGTGGCGTCCCTCATACACTTCATCTACCACGGCGAAGTGAATGTCGACCAGGAGAACCTTGCGTCTCTCCTTAGAACAGCAGAGAGTCTCAAAATTAAGGGACTGGCAGAAGTTTCATCTGTAACTAGTGAACAGAAGTCTCTGAGTGATGGAGATAACCAAAGACATCACAGCAGAGGAAGGTCAAGACCCAGTAATTGCCAGTCTGCTCCAATATATACTGTAGGGACTGAGTATCCTGTAGGGATGTATGGACTAATTCCACAGAGTATATCACCTCATAATCAGCTACCTGATCCACTAGAGCGGGACCCATCACCTCTTAACTTATCTTTCAACGGTTCGTTAAAAAATATCCATGATGAAACGCCTCAGGAGAGACAGGAGAGACGTAATCGTTTAGATGACCTCCTCTATGCTGCCACTGAGCGAAGCAAAAAGGAAGAGAGGCGGGAAGCTCGGCGGGAGGCGCGAGAGGCGGCCTTACGCGAAGCTGCGGCAATCCGCGAGTCTTCAGTGATGATTACCCAAGATCAGGTTGTCATTCCTCCGGCATCCAAACGTGCTAGAACGACCGAATCTTCTCGAACAACCGCCCTGCCTGCCCACCCAGCGTTCCACATCCCTCTGATGAACCTTAGCCTACCTCCTAATGCATCGACTTCTGTTATCACATCACAAAGCATCTCATCAACACAGACTTCTCATCTACCAGAAGCTATATCGTTAGCAGAAAAGGCAGCTGTAGGTTTGCACACTCAAGAAGTTGAACCAGAGCAACATAATAATCAAGATATGGAAGCAGCTACTCAAAAATCTCCTGTCAAGATTGAGAAGATTGAAATTTCTAGGTAAGGGTAATCATAACTAAAAATGTATTTACTATATTCTTCTTTCACTAAAACAAACCGGTCATATCCCACTGAGGCAGGGTGACCTAAGAAGAAAAATTAAAAGTTTCTCTTTTAAATTAAGTAATGTATGCAGGAGAAGGAGTTATTAGCCTCTTGCTCCCGGCATTTTAGTTTCTCTTACAACACGCATAGCTTACAGAGAAGAATTCTGTTCCACTTCCCTATTATACTATTTTATATAATGAAGTACTGTGTACATAATTATGTATCACAGATGGTATTTTTGGGAAAAGTAAAATATTTAAATAGATTCAAGGAGAAATCTCATTATTTTTCCTTAAATAATAATAATGGTATAAACCTTGGTAATAAATACCGACAAGTTGGTTTCGAAAGACACGTAAGCAAACACTATGATATATTTATTAGAAAACGTTTCGTCCTGGGAGGTGATCAAGGTCCCAGGATCAAAATGTTTTCTAATAAATATGTTATAGTGTTTGCTTACGTGTGTTTCTAAACCAAATAATAATAATACACCGTAAGTCATGCCTGTCATCGGAATCGACTGAAATACTGGGAGCAAGGGGCTAGTAACCTCGTCTCCTGTATGGGTTACTAAATTTTAAAAGAAAAACTTTTGTTTTTCTTTTTAGGTCACCCTGCCTTGGTAGGATATGGCCAGTTTGATGAAAATAATAAGAATAACACACACATTTAAAGGCATAGTAAGGTATGCAAAAATACTACAGTGAAAATGGGAAATACAACCTGAGCACTTTGATGTGCTTACGCATACATCTTCATTTACATCTTAAAGTGGATATTCTTTTTTTTCTATTAACCATTCCAGTGTTTAACCCTTAAACGGTCCAAACGTATATATACGTTTTTTCAACATTTGACAGTATGTAAAAAAAGTAGATCTCTTTTTTTTTTTTTTACATTTGAAAATGTGTAAAAAAACTTTGATCTACTTTTTTTTTTGTTATTGAAAATATGTAAAAAAAACGTAGATCTACTTTTGTAGCACTACGCATGTGAATGTAGATCTGCTTGGACCGTTTACTGGTTAAAGTGGATATTCTTTTTTTTTCTATTAACCGTTCCAGTATTTAAAAGTAGCTAAGCTTGTTGTTAATAACTTTCAGTGATATCACCATCATGGAAGATGTAGCTGTGATCAGCGACGAGAGCGACACTCAGAGTGCCCCAGAAACTCCGAGTGATTTAATTGTTGTTCCCGTGGCACCGGTTATACCTCCAGCCACTACCACAACAGCAACGCAAGTGCCTAGTACTGGGGCACTGGAGGATATTAATGTGGTATCGGCATGCAGAGCGCCAATCATCCTAAACAATACCATAAATGCCACAGCTGGTGCTTCCGTCGCTCCTCTCTCGGAGAGCAATGAGGAGAAGGTCACGCCATACTTCCACAGCATCCTACAACAAGTCGCTGAAGGAACGCCTACGGGGGAGCCAGCATCCTCGAATTCTCAGAGAGTTACTATTAATATGAGAACTTTTAAAGTAAGTTTTATCTGTGTAGTTTTTTCCAAACGTTAGCCGTCTTCCACAGAGGCAGGTGATCCCCCCCCCCAAAAAAAAAGAAAGAGGAAACACATTCACCTTCATTTAATCAATCACTGTCTTGATGCTCACATACTGAGGGTCTGTGGTTTGACCCTCAACACAGGCATGTTTCCCTACACTCACTGCCCCTGTCCACCTAGCAGCAAGTAGGTACAGGAGGGCCCCACTTATACAGCAGGTTAGGTTCCAGGCTATTGCTGTAAAGTGAAACATAGACCTTTTTTTCACTTTCAAATCTATATAAAAATCTCAGCGCTGTATAGCCCTTGTGGCTTAGCGCTTCTTTTTGATTATAATAATAATAATAATAATAATAATAATAATAATAATAATATATAAAAATCTGATAACATGTTTACACTATCATATATTAAGTGAGCAATAGAGCTAGGCCTAAAAAATGCATATACAGTGGACCCCCGGTTAACGATATTTTTTCATTCCAGAAGTATGTTCAGGTGCCAGTACTGACTGAATTTGTTCCCATAATGGAATATTGTGAAGTAGATTAGTCCATTTCAGACCCCCAAACATACACGTACAAACGCACTTACATAAATACACTTACATAATTGGTCGCATTGGGAGGTGATCGTTAAGCGGGGTCCACTGTACAGTACACACATTACTTACCTTAAAATATTTTTAGCCACCATAGCTTATAGCAAGTGGTGAATATATTTATTGTAGGAAGTCTGAATAAATGAAGAATGAGTATAACTGAAAACAGCTATATTAGTGAAGAGCTGTAAAGTGAAGCACTGTAAAAGAGAAGTGCTGTAAGGTGAAGCACTGTAAAAGAGAAGTGCTGTAAAGTGAAGCACTAAAATAGAAGCGCTGTAAAGTGAAGCACTGTAAAAGAGAAGTGCTGTAAGGTGAAGCACTGTAAAGAGAAGTACTGTAATAAGAAATAGAAGTGCTGTAAAGTGAAGCACTGTAAAAGAGAAGTGCTGTAAAGTGAAGCACTGTAAAAGAGAAGTGCTGTAAAGTGAAGCACTGTAAAAGAGAAGCACTGTAAAGTGAAGCATTGTAAAAGTGAAGCACTGTAAAGTGGGGCCTGCCTGTGATGGTAATTACTATTGTTATATTTTGTAATGCCAACATCTCTAAATATGATTCATTTACTCTATTCTTATTCTTATTTCCCATCATGTTCTGCCCTTTTCCTGGCCATTACGTTACAGTGGAATCTGGGTTTTCATGTACCCTAGTTTGTATGTAAAATTATAATTATTCTAAAATGTATTTTTTGTTAATATTTTTGGGTGTCTGGAACAGATTAATTGGCTTTACATTATTTCTTATGGGAAATATTGCCTCTGTTGTCGTACAATTCAGTTTATCGCCAGAATAAACTGAATGGATTAATCATGAAATGGATTAATGGATTAATGGATTAATGGATGAATGGATTAATCATGAAAACCAAAGTTTCACTGTATTCAGATTCAGTAAAATCACAGTAAACAGTTGGTATCACAATATGCAGAATAACCACTGTGAAAAAATAGTGAGCTTCTAAACACTGGGTTAGGATGTCCTGTGGCTTGGTTAGCAATACACTTGCCTCACACTATCTGGGGTTTGATTTCCAACACTGGTTGAAGTGTTGGGCATGTTTTTTTAAACCTGCTGTCCCACCTCTAGGACTCAAGTCAGGCTAACCGGTTTCGCTGAATCCCTTATTATTATTATTATTATTATTATTATTATTATTATTATTATTATTATTATTATTATTATTTCTTTCATTCAACACACCTGCCATATCCCACCAAGGCAGGGTGGCCCAAAAAGAAAAATGAAAGTTTCTCTTTTAAATTTAGTAATTTATACGGGAGAAGGGGTTACTATCCCCTTGCTCCCGGCATTTTAGTCGCCTCTTATAACACGCATGGCTTACGGAGGAAGAATTCTGTTCCACTTCCCCATGGAGATAAGAGGAAATAAACAAGAACAAGAACTAGAAAGAAAATAGAAGAATATCCAGAGGGGTGTGTATATATATATGCTTGTACATGTATGTGTAGTGTGACCTAAGTGTAAGTAGAAGTAGCAAGATGTACCTGAAATCTTGCATGTTTACAAGACAGAAAAATGGACACCAGCAATCCTACCATCATGTAAAACAATTACAGGCTTTCGTTTTACACTCACTTGGCAGGATGGTAGTACCTCCCTGGGTGGTTGCTGTCTACCAACCTACTGGAGTTTACCTGGAGTTTACCTGGAGAGAGTTCCGGGGGTCAATGCCCCCGCGGCCCGGTCTGTGACCAGGCCTCCTGGTGGATCAGAGCCTGATCAACCAGGCTGTTGCTGCTGGCTGCACGCAAACCAACGTACGAGACACAGCCCGGCTGGTCAGGAACCGACTTTAGGTGCTTGTCCAGTGCCAGCTTGAAGACTGCCAGGGGTCTGTTGGTAATCCCCCTTATGTATGCTGGGAGGCAGTTGAACAGTCTCGGGCCCCTGACACTTATTGTATGGTCTCTTAACGTGCTAGTCACAACCCTGCTTTTCATTGGGGGGATGTTGCATCGTCTGCCAAGTCTTTTGCTTTCGTAGTGAGTGATTTTCGTGTGCAAGTTCGGTACTAGTCCCTCTAGGATTTTCCAGGTGTATATAATCATGTATCTCTCCCGCCTGCATTCCAAGGAATACAGGTTTAGGAACCTCAAGCGCTCCCAGTATTTGAGGTGTTTTATCTCCGTTATGCGCGCCGTGAAGGTTCTCTGTACATTTTCTAGGTCAGCAATTTCACCTGCCTTGAAAGGTGCTGTTAGTGTGCAGCAATATTCCAGCCTAGATAGAACAAGTGACCTGAAGAGTGTCATCATGGGCTTGGCCTCCCTAGTTTTGAAGGTTCTCATTATCCATCCTGTCAATTTTCTAGCAGATGCGATTGATAAAATGTTATGGTCCTTGAAGGTGAGATCCTCCGACAGGTCTTTGACGTTGGTGTTTCACTCTATTTTGTGGCCAGAATTTGTTTTGTACTCTGATGAAGATTTAATTTCCTCGTGTTTACCATATCTAAGTAATTGAAATTTCTCATCGTTGAACTTCATATCGTTTTCTGCAGCCCACTGAAAGATTTGGTTGATGTCCGCCTGGAGCCTTGCAGTGTCTGCAATGGAAGACAGTCATGCAGATTCGGGTGTCATCTGCAAAGGAAGACACGGTGCTGTGGCTGACATCCTTGTCTATGTCGGATATGAGGATGAGGAACAAGATGGGAGCGAGTACTGTGCCTTGTTGAACAGAGCTTTTCACCGTAGCTGCCTCGGACTTTACTCTGTTGACGACTACGCTGTGTTCTGTTAGTGAGGAAATTATAGATCCATCGACCGACTTTTCCTGTTATTCCTTTAGTACGCATTTTGTGCGCTATTACGCCATGGTCACACTTGTCGAAGGGTTTTGCAAAGTCTGTATATATTACATCTGCATTCTTTTTGTCTTCTAGTGCATTTAGGACCTTGTCGTAGTGATCCAATAGTTGAGACAGACAGGAGCGACCTGTTCTAAACCCATGTTGCCCTGGGTTGTGTAACTGATGGGTTTCTAGATGGGTGGTGATCTTGCTTCTTAGGACCCTTTCAAAGATTTTTATGATATGGGATGTTAGTGCTATCGGTCTGTAGTTCTTTGCTGTTGCTTTACTGCCCCCTTTGTGGAGTGGGGCTATGTCTGTTGTTTTTAGTAACTGTGGGACGACCCCCGTGTCCATGCTCCCTCTCCATAGGATGGTAAAGGCTCGTGATAGGGGCTTCTTGCAGTTCTTGATGAACACGGAGTTCCATGAGTCTGGCCCTGGGGCAGAATGCATGGGCATGTCATTTATCGCCTGTTCGAAGTCATTTGGCATCAGGATAACATCGGATAGGCTTGTGTTAACCAAATTTTGTGGCTCTCTCATATAAAATTAATTTTGATCTTCGACTCTCAGTCTGGTTAGCGGCTTCCTAAAAACTGAGTCATATTGGGACTTGAGTAGCTCACTCATTTCCTTGCTGTCATCTCTGTAGGACCCATCTTGTTTAAGTAGGGGCCCAATACTGGACGTTGTTCTCGACTTTGATTTGGCATAGGAGAAGAAATACTTTGGGTTTCTTTTGATTTCATTTATGGCTTTTAGTTCTTCCCGTGATTCCTGACTCCTTTAAGATTCCTTTAGCTTAAGTTCGATGCTTGCTATTTCTCTGACCAGTGTCTCCCTATGCATTTCAGATGTATTGACCTCTTTTAGCCGCTCTGTTATTCTTTTCCGTCGCCTGTAAAGGGAGCGCCTGTCTCTTTCTATTTTACATCTACTCCTCCTTTTTCTTAGAGGAATAAGCCTTGTGCATACATCGAGTGCCACCAAGTTAATCTGTTCTAGGCATAAGTTGGGGTCTGTGTTGCTTAGTATATCTTCCCAGCTTATATCGGTTAGGACTTGGTTTACTTGGTCCCACTTTATGTTTTTGTTATTGAAGTTGAATTTAGTGAATGCTCCCTCGTGACTAGTCTCATTATGTCGGTCTGGGGCTCCACGCATACATGTCTGAACCTCAATTATGTTGTGATCTGAGTATATTGTTTTTGATATGGTGACATTTCTTATCAGATCATCATTGTTAGTGAAGATGAGGTCTAGTGTATTCTCCAGTCTAGTAGGCTCTATTATTTGCTGGTTTAAATTGAATTTTGTGCAGAGATTTAAAAGCTCGTGTGAGTGTGAGTTTTCATCAGAGCTGCCTCCTGGTGTTATTACTGCAACAATATTATTTGCTATATTCCTCCATTTTAGGTGCCTTAAGTTGAAATCCCCCAGGAGCAAGATGTTGGGTGCAGGAGCTGGAAGATTTTCCAGACAGTGGTCAATTTTTAACAGCTGTTCCTGGAATTGCTGGGATGTTGCATCCAGAGGCTTGTAGACTACCACAATGACTAGGTTTTGGTTCTCGACCTTTACTGCAAAAAACTTCCACTACATCATTTGAGGCATTAAGCAGTTCTGTGCAAACAAGTGACTCTGCAATGTACAGGCCAACCCCCCCCCCCCTTCCTTTTGCCTGTTCACTCTGTCACATCTGTATAGGTTGTAACCTGGGATCCATATTTCGTTGTCCAAGTGATCCTTTATGTGGGTCTCAGTGAAAGCCGCAAACATTGCCTTTGCCTCTGCAAGCAGTCCACGGATGAAAGGTATTTTGTTGTTTGTTGCTGGCTTTAGACCCTGTATATTTGCAAAGAAGAATGTCATCGGACTGGTGGTATTGTTGGTACTACCTATATTATTATTATTATTATTATTATACTTTTAACACATTGGCCATTTTCCCACCAATGCAGGATGACCCAAAAGAAAAGGAAAAAACACTTTGATCATCACTCACTCCACCACCCTCTTGCCAGAGGCATGCAGATACATCAGTTTAAATGTGCACTTGGGATATACCTGCAGGGTGTTCGGGGGGTCAATGCCCCCATGGCTCGGTCCATGATCAGGCCTCGTGGTGGATCAGGACCTAATCAACCAGGTTGTTACTGCTGGCCACACGTAAACCAACGTAGGAGCTATAGCCCAGCTGAGCAGGTACTGACTTTAGATGTTTGTCCAGCACCTTCTTGAAGACAGCCAGGGGTCATGAAGACAGCCAGGGGTCATGAAGACAGCCAGGGGTCATGAAGACTGCCAGGGGTCTGTTGGTAATACCCCTTACATATGCTGGGAGGCAGTTGAACAGTCTTGTGTCCTGATACTTATTGCATTGTCTTTTAGTGTACTTGTGGCACCCCTGCTTTTCATTGGGGAGATGTTGAATCTCCTGCCCAGTCTTTTGCTTTTGTAGGGAGTGCAGATTTTGGACTATTATCATGTATCTTTCTCGCCTGCATTTCGGGAGTATAGGCCAAGGGACTTCTATTGTTCCCTTTAATTTAGGAGCTTTATCATACTTATACGTGCCGTGAAACTTCTCTGTATATTCTCCAGGTCAGCAATTTTGCCTGCCGTGAAAGGGGCTGCTAGTGTACAACTTCCAGCCTAGAGAGAACAAGCGATTTGAAGAGAATTATCATGGGCTTGGCATCCCTGGTTTTGAAGGCCTAAACAGCAAATATCCCAAACCCCTCCTTTGAAGTGTACGCACTGTACTTCCCACCTCCAGGACTCAAATCCTGCTAACCAGTTTCCCTGAATCCCTTCACAAAATATTACCCTGCTTACACTCCAACAGCTCATCAAGTCCCAAAAACCATTCATCTCCACTCCTATCTAACTCATACATTATTAAGGGTGTCTCGTAGGTTGATTGGTAGCGCACTCAGCTCACACACTAAGGTCCAAGGTTCAATCCCTGGTATGGGTGGAAACATTAGGATGTGTTTCCTTAAGACATATGCTGTCCATCTTCGCCTAGCAGTAAGTAGGTACCTGGGTGTTGGTGGACTGGTGTGGGTTGCATCCTGGGGACAAAATTTACCTAGTTTGCCCAAAATGCTCTGCATAACCAGGAGCTTTCTATATAGTATGTCACTGATGTCAGCTATGATCTGTATAAGTTGTATCATGTACTGGTAGAAAATAAAGATTATTATGTGTTATTATTATTATTGTAACGTCTGTTTAACCCCAGGAGGAATGGCGACGACAACTCTTGGTGGATTATGACACACGGACCAATATGAGCATTTGCATGCTGTGTTTCACTACCTTCAAGTCGTACGACGGTCCCAGAAAAAACACTTATGTCAAACATGCTAAACGCTTCCATCCATCGCTCGAAGAATATTCCGAAGAGGAGAGAGATCTCATCATCAGCATGTATGAGAAGTATCATAAGTATGATGTGGACATGCAGAAAGAAGTCAATAAATCATACAGGTTTGTGATAGTGTACTTGTATGAGAGGTCCCACTCAAGGGAGGTCTTATACTGTACTTGTATGAGAGGTCTCACTCAAGGGAGGTCTTATACTGTACTTGTATGAGAGGTCCCACTCAAGGGAGGTAGTATACTAGTATGAGAGGTCCCACTCAAGGGAGGTAGTATACTATACTTGTATGAGAGGTCCCACTCAAGGGAGGTCTTATACTGTACTTGTATGAGAGGTCCCACTCAAGGGAGGTAGTGTACTAGTATGAGAGGTCCCACTCAAGGGAGGTAGTATACTGTACTTGTATAAGAGGTCCCACTCAAGGGAGGTAGTATACTATACTTGTATGAGAGGTCCCACTCAAGGGAGGTAGTATACTGTACTTGTATGAGAGGTCCCACTCAAGGGAGGTAGTATACTGTACTTGGATGAGAGGTCCCACTCAGAGAAGCTGTCTTGTTACCAGTGAGAGGCTCTTGATCCAGCAGATTGGACCTGTTCTGACTTTCCTTGGATCTAACCTAATTGACTCCCATTCCCCAGGTGTTGCATAACCCCCCGGGTGTTGTATGATCCCCCAGGTGTTGTATGACCCCCAGGTGTTGCATAACCCCCCAGGTGTTGTATGATCCCCCAGGTGTTGTATGACCCCCCAGGTGTTGTATGATCCCCCAGGTGTTGCATAACCCCCCAGGTGTTGTATGACCCCCCAGGTGTTGTATGACCCCCTTGCTTGTATTATCTTGTATGGATGGTGGTCAATAAGACACCTGTACAATATTTGCATATCTTTATTCTGGAAACTCTTTGCTACACAGTGGTTTCCTCAGTCCAATGCAGAGAAAGGTGGAAGACGAGGAATTTGAGGTAATCAGTCCCTCAGCCAGGAGTCGATGTGTTCAATCCATCAGTTTTTATTCTAGAACCACAAATAGGCATTTACAGATAGGTAAATACAAATAAATCACAAATAGGTAATCACAAATAGGTAATCACAAATAGGTAATCACAAATAGGTAATCACAAATAGGTAATTATAAATAGGTAATCACAAATAGGTAATCACAAATAGGTAATCACAAATAGGTAATTATAAATAGGTAATCACAAATAGGTAATCACAAATAGGTAATCACAAATAGGTAATCACAAATAAATCACAAATAGGTAATCACAAATAGGTAATCACAAATAGGTAATCACAAATAGTTGATCATAAATAGGTAATCATAAATTGGCAATCATAAATTGGTAATCACATATAGGTAATTACAAATAGGTAATCACAAATTGGCAATCATGAGTATATAATCACAAATAGGTAATTACAAATAGGTAATCACAAATAGGTAATCAGAAATAGGCAATGATAAATTGGTAATCACAAATAGGTAAAGACAGGTTCAACCAGGCTGTTTTGTTCATATCATTAACAAATCCGTACTTGTACCTCTTATCATAGGGTAGAATAATAGAGTACTTCCGTCATTAGTGATGTACAGAATGATGTACACTTGGACCTCCTTATCTGTGAGGGACAAGTTCCGAGGCCGTGCTGCTAATACCGAAACTGTGGATAGTGGTGAACCGTATATGTCTCTTTTTTTGTTTTTGTACATACCTATTATAAAGTTTAATTGACAAATTGCATGCAATACATCGAGAATTATCATTTTTTCACTGATGGGAAGCACTTCACGGCTTGTCTTAGGCTTTGAAGAACTGCTAGCACAACTACTTATGGGTTATTTTTGGGCTATGGTAAACAGCGGATAACTGAAATCGTGGAAACTGGACCCACGGATGTGGGAGCCCTACTGTGCAGTAGAACCCTCACATCAGTGGATTTGGTTTCAACAGTTTCAGTTATCCGCTGTTACCACAGCCCACATTATCGCAGTGTTGTTATAAAAATAACCGTTAATTTTGTTAATAATGGCCCCAAAATGCAAAAAATAGTGATGCTGACTTTTCTTCAAAGTCTAAGAGAAGTTGTAAACTTATATATATAAGGTTTGCTACTATCCACAGTTTTGGGCATCCATAGTAGGTCTTGGAACATATGTCCCGCGGATACAGGGAACTACTGTACTGTATTGGTAAATCCTTAGTGTAATTAATTAATAGGAGAAATTCTCCAAGTGTTTGTTAAATTAGAATGTTGAAATTAGCAAAAAGATCACTAAAGTGTTTTATTGTATACACAGTTTACAGTTATATTGTAATAAACTTTAAAATTAAATGAGTTGAAAGTGCAATTTATCCAGTAAATTTTGTCTGTTATTTCAGAAATCTGCTATATCAAGGTCTGCTGTATCGAGTTTGTTATATTGAGGGTTTACTATACTGTGTATGAGAAACCATGGTATGATGACACAGCACAATGATGTGTCATCATATAAATATTTTCCAGCTATGTTGATAACAGAAGCTCCAAGATATGCTCATTATATCCACAATAATCTTTTCCAGCCTTTTTCTAAAGTTTAAAAATAATATACAGTGGTACTTCGGGATACGAACAGCTCAAAACTCGTACAATTATGTAAGTGTACGCATTTATGTAAGTGCTTTTGTAAGTGTATTTTTGGGGGTCTGAAACGGATTAATCTAATTTACATTATTCTTTATGGGAACAAATTTGTTCGGTATCGGCACTCGAACAGACTTCTGGAATGAATTAAGTTTGTATCCCGAGGTACCACTGTAATGAGTTAAGAAATGCCGCCACAATATATGTAATCTAGTTGTCCATATTTCCAGAGCTGCAAATGCTATAGTTGCACTAGGCAAGAAAGGCATCAAACACTGTGACATTAATGCAGAGGCAATTACTGTGAGCGAACTAACCACCAAGGTAAATAACGAAGGAGAAGCACAGGAGGAAAATCTAGAGGTTTCAACAGAGAGTAACAGCCTAAGAGAAGAAGAGGTTACGTGTGTCTCAGGTAAAATTGATGTGTTTAGTTTTGCAAAATAATTACTGTGAAAATAGTGAAATTCCAAGGGCTTTTGTGATTTTTCACATTAGTTAGTTAGTTTAATATGTTTATTATGCACCCCATACCCATCCTGTGGGCGGTAGTCAAAAGATTACAGAGGTACATAATTGGTCCAGGGACTGGACTCCAAAGTTTTGATAGCTGAGCAAGTTACAGAGGTAATGAACTCACAATTTACAAAGGTAATGAACTCACAATTTACAAAGGTAATGAACTCACAATTTACAAAGGTAATGAACTCCAGGTAAGTCTGGTCACAATCATGACAAGTTACAAAGGTATTTACAGATTACAGAGGTACGTAATGGGTCCAGGGACTGGGCCCCCAAAGTTTTGATAGCTGAACTAGGTACAAAGGTAATGAGCTCACAAGTTACAAAGGTAATGAATTCTGTAGAATGGTTACTTACGTTTATACTTTGGCTACAATCATTAGCAAGGCTATTACAGGTCAAACCACGGTACAGGTGGGGATTGAACTGGCGGCAAGTAAGTTGTGAAACTCCAAGCCAGTGCGTAAGCCACTGGGTCAGCTGGCTACAATAACATTCATCCAGGTATATTTAGACATTGTAAAGAGGTTAGCACAGGTCCCATATGACCCATGCTAACCTCCCTATGGTGTATAAATATACCTAGTTGGATGAATCTTATTATAGCCAGCTGGCCCAGTGGCTAACACGTCGGTCTGGAGTTTTACGACTCACTTGCTGCAAGTTTAATCCCCACCCGTGCAGTGGTTTGGTTGAAATTATGTCATTATGATCTCATGAGTCATTACAGGTCCTTGATCAAGTTAGAAATCATAAAAATGTTTGTGTTGATAGGGTTCATAGATGGAGTGATGGTAGCAAGAAAACAAGTGTAGACTTTGTTACAGAGGCATATGTTTGGCAAGGGTGGTGGAGCCTAGCCTGTTGCACCTGCTTGCATGGTCCGCCTATTTGAATCTGGGGCAAAGGCCTCTTGAGTGGATACCTACATGCGGGGGTTGTCACGTGACATCAGGCTTGGCCAGAGAGCCTGCATATAATTTTTTTTTATTAACATATCGGCCATTTCCCACCAAAGTAGGGTAACCAGAAAAAGAAGAAACACTTTCATCATCATTCACTCTACTGTCTTGACAGAGGCTCGCCCCTACACTACAGTTAAAAAGCTGCAACATTAACACCCCTCCTTCAGAGTGCAGGTGCTGTACTTCCCACCTCCAGGACTCAAGTCCAGTTTGCTGGTTTCCCTGAATCCTTTCATAAATGTTTCCTTGCTCACACTCCAGCAGTATGTTAATTCATAAAAGCGATTTGTCTACACACTCACTCCTATCTAACACGCTCACACACACACTTGCTGGAAGTCCTGCCTATAATGTTGCTAGAAGTATAGGGTGCACAGGGCTAATAACCCCCTTTCCTGTATACATTACTAAATTTAAAAAGAGAAACTTTTGTTTTTCTTTTTGAGTCGTTTTGCCTCGGTGGAATATGGCCGGTTTGTTAAAAAAAAAAAAAAGTATACTACACAAATAATACTATTGGCATTTTGAATTTAACTATATTTTCACAGTGGTTGTTTTGTATATTGTGATATCACTTGTTTACTGTGATCTTATTGCAGGTTTAGTTATGAATAACTAAAATATAATGAATACTTTTAAATGAAGGAGGGGTGTTAATGTTGCAGTTTGAAAACTGTAGTGTAAAGCACCCTTCTGGCAAGACAGTGATGGAGTGAATGATGGTGAAAGTTTTTCTTTTTCGGGCCACCCTGCCTTGGTGGGAATCGGCCAGTGTGATAATAAAAAAAAAAAACTTTTAAATGCCCAGTAATAACCCACATGGAGAAAGAAACTTGAGAGACTGATTGATCCATCTGCATATTTCAACCCTCTTCTAGGATCCTCTTCAGCAGATGCTAAAGAGGATTCCAGAAGGGGGTCAGAATATAAAGCTTAATCAATCTCCTGGGTTTCTGTCTCCATGTGGGTTATTATTAAGCATGACTCAAGAAATCGTAATGACACGATTGCAAACAAACCATACCACAGGTGGGGTTATAACTAGTGATCAGAGAGTCACAAAACTGATGCGTTAGCTACCTGGTCCAGTGGCTAACACGTCGGTCTGGAGTTTTGTGACTCTGATCGCGGGTTCTAACCCCACCCGTGGTATTTGTTATTGAGCATGTTAAGTTATTTATTTTACCAGCCTCCAGGGACTCAGGTTCTGGAGGTGGGAAGTACAGTGCCTGCACCCTGAATGACGGGTTGAGAGCACTGTTGTTTGGATGATCATCTGAATTATGATACACAATACACAAATAACCCACACATAGGAGAAAGAAGCTTATGAGGATGTTTTGGTCTGACTTGGATCACTAACTAGTCACACACATTGTGTGATTAATTATTGGTCCAAGTTGAGCCAAAATGTTGTCGTAAGTATCTTTCAGCTATGTGCTGATTATTTGTGTATTGTACCAATCACGGTATTATATTACCATGATTCTGGGAAGACGGTGATTAAATGAGTGACAATAAAAGTGTTTCTTCTATTTTGATTCACCCTGCTTCGGTGGGAGATGACTGGTGTGTTAAGAAAATAAATGGTCTTCCCCACTAAGGCATTGTAACACAAAGAGGACAACACATTCATCAACAATAAATAGTTGTGTTGCTACCAAACTGCAACATCCCCACTTATCATGCAGAGTGTTACCAGTAAGGGGATTTAGATCCAAAGAATTGAACTGCGTCTGCTTTCCTTACCTCGAACCTGAATGCCTCAATCTTCCAGGCAATTCGTGACCTCTTTGGGTTTAGTGCTCTCCTACACTCATACACTATGAGTGATTTACATTGAATCACCACGAATGATACTCATGGACATTAAACAATGCCTGCGACTGCTCAACCACCATATTGCCAGACGTGTTGCAGGCATTTGTTTCAATTTGTTTCTGTAGCTTACCCCTCAAGGAAGGTTCCTTGATGTTGGTGAGGGGCTCTTGATTTAGGGAATTGGATCTGTGCTCCAGTTCCCCGAATTAAGCCTGAATGCCTTCCACATCCCCCCCCCCCAGGCGCTGTATAATCCTCCGGGTTTAGCGCTTCCCCCTTGATTATAATAATAATAATTCTGTAGCTTAATATAGGTTTAAATAATTTTTTTTTTATTAACACATCAGCAGTTTCCCACCAAGGCAGGGTGACCCAAAAAAGAAGAAACACCTTCATCATCACTCACTCCATCACTGTCTTGCCAGAGGTGTGCTGACACTAAGGTTAAAAAATTGCAACGTATCTGCACTCCTCCTGCAGAGTGCAGGTACTATACTTCCCACCTCCAGGACTCAAGTCTGGCTAACTGATTTCCCTGAATCCCTCATAAATGTGACTTTGTTGATACTCCAACAGCACTTCCTCATAAAAACCATTGGCCTCCACTCTCTCCTATCTAACAAATTCACACATGCTCATTAGAGAGGAGAGAGTGGAGACAAACAGCTTTTATTACTTATAATACAGCAAAAACTATTTGTAGATTTACAGGGAATGTTTGGAAATTAAAATTAGTAATATAATTAGCATAATGAGGTTTTTATGTCAAATATAGATTTTTTTTTTTCAAGAAGTCGGCCGTCTCCCACCGAGGCAGGGTGACCCAAAAAGAAAGAAAATCCCCAAAAAGAAAATACTTTCCTCATCATTCAACACTTTCACCACACTCACACATTATCACTGTTTTTGCAGAGGTGCTCAGAACACAACAGTTTAGAAGCATATACGTATAAAGATACACAATATATCCCTCCAAACTGCTAATATCCCAAACCCCTCCTTTAAAGTGCAGGCATTGTACTTCCCATTTCCAGGACTCAAGTTCGGCTATATAAAAATAAACCGGTTTCCCTGAATCCCTTCACTAAATATTACCCTGCTCACACTCCAACAGATCGTCAGGTCCCAAATACCATTCGTCTCCATTCACTCCTATCTAACACGCTCACGCACGCTTGCTGGAAGTCCAAGCCCCTCGCCCACGAAACCTCCTTTACCCCCTCCCTCTAACCTTTTCAAGTACGACCCCTACCCCGCCTTCCTTCTCCTACAGATTTAAATGCTCTCCATGTCATATATAGATGTGTGCAATAATTATGTTTAAATAATTTCAGGTAAAAGTCGCTCCCACACTCCAGAGAGTGACATCAGCTTAGAAACAAATGAAAAGCTCTCTGAAAGTTTTGATGCTGAAGAAATGAGAGAAAAATTTGAAAATAATAATGTATCACCACCGCTAGCAACAAAAAGGAGCCAGATGAACACTCGTGCTAAAACTGCTGCTACTGCTGCCACCGTTGCTGTGTGAGTGTGCGTGTTTTACCACTGCAGCTGTGTACGTACAGGTGCTCTTTGACTTACAGTGGAGCTATGTTCCGATGAACCCATTGTAAGTCAAAAATATTGTAAGTTGAATGTGAATATGATATGCTAAATAAATAACTAAGTAATGCTTAATAATTCGCAAACAGGCAAAATTATTTACAAACATTATCTCTCAGTCCGCAGCAGGATTTAGAGGATACAGAGTTTGTAGGTTCAAATTCTGCTGTGGACTGAGAGATAAGTTTTATAAGTAAAATATTATCACTAAATAAACAAATAATTACCGTAATTTAATACCAGTATCAAGAAGTAAAGTGAATAGAAATTATAGACTTGCTGCCTTCATGCTGGGTTATTATCTTAAGGTTCATTTCCAAATTGCTTTTGCACTACCATAAAGTCAAAATATGGTAAGTTGAGGAGCACCTGTACTCTGACAGCTACTCTGACAGGTGTTGTGAGTGAATGCATTCTTCCTGCTACTGCCACAGATTGTGTGTGCTCATTTTTACACCTACTGACACACTTGTATCAGTGTTTGCGTTCTTACTGCTACTGCCGCAGTTGTTGTGTGAATGTGTGTTCTCTCATTCTGGGCAACACTATAGTTCAATGTTAATGGAAAATTAGGTACTGTAAATTAGTTTTTATGAGGTATATCCTAGGACTTGTGATAATTACCTAGCAAGCGAGGCAGTTTAGATAATTTCCACTGCTTCTTACAACGCATACCGTATTTTCTGGCATATAAGGTGCACTTTTTTTCCCAAAATAAGTCCTGGAAAATCAGCTTGTGCCTTATATGCTCAAGGTCAGGGTCAAGGGTAGGCTTTGTGTTATGCTTCAGAAGGTGTTTACTAACGTTATGTTACAGCTGGTTGGAAACATCGTGCCAGCAAGCAGGCGACACTCATCCACCTTGGTTGCCAGAAAATACATTACCTAATCAACTTTCCATTTCTCATATATCATTAAGAAGCATATTCCACTAAAAATATTGTAACATTTCTTAATTTTCTCTTAACATTTAGTAACAGTAAACACATCAAGACATATTTACAAACAAATGTGTGAGATATCAATGACGGTGAATGTTTTATAAACTCAGATCATATCAATATTTGTGCTCAAAAGTCAAACTGTAGGTCATGTTTGTGTTGCAGTACTCTAATAAGTCTCTTTAGAGATCATAAGATAAAGGAGTATATTTTTTATTAACATACAAACTGAACCTTTCTTTTTTGGCTAACCATATCAAGCAAAATGCTGAAAATTCATTATGAATGAATGTAATAGTTCAGTGGAGTGGGAGGGATTTGAACCTCTGGTCCAAGATGAGCCTCTATGGTACATTGGACTGGCTGATAGTCTCGGGCTGATGGCCTAGATTTCAATAATTCCAGTGGAATGTCTAACATATTACAGTGGACCCTCTACTAACGACATTATTTCATTTCAGACGTTTGTTCGGGTGCCGCTACCGACCGAATTTGTTCCCATAAGGAATATTGTGAAATAGATTAGTCCGTTTCAGACCCCCAAAAATTCACGTACAAAAGCACTTACAAAAATACACTTACATAACTGGTCGAGTTGGGAGCTGATCGTTAGTTGAGGGTCCACTGTATACTCATATTTTTGAAGTTCTCTAAGCATTTCATTTCGTACATGTTAAAATCAGTCAAGGTCCTGAAGTAAGCACTGCTCACAATGACTGATGAACAGGATGTTCCGAGCGTGTTTTATATGTACAATATAAGCATGATGATCCCCTTAGTGAGCAACTGTCAGCGAATAAAGAGAAGAATGTTCTTGGACTTGAGCTGTGGTCCATAAAGAGTTCAGGAATTCAATCATTCTTTTGTTTATTCAAAAACATGCTAAAGCAACTCTAAAAACAAACGTAATAAACACCACACAAACAACCCGCACATAGGAGAAAGAAACTCGTGATGACGTTTCGATCTGACTTGGATCATTAACTAGACACACACAAGCATGAAGGGAAGGGAGCAAGTACAGTAAATCCTTGACTTACAAACACATTGGGGACCTCCTGAATTGTGATAACAATATATAATAATGATATTATACACTATAATGCTATAATAATGACATTTTACACAACACAGAAGATTCTCAACATGTTTGTAAGTCAAGGTCTTACTGTATATACATGTACATGAGAGGGGAGGATGGAGCCGGGAGGACGAGGAGGTAGTACAGCCTCTCCTCACTTAACAACGGAGTTCCGTTCCTAAGACCACATTGTTAAATGGTAGTGGGTTTGTGTCAACCATCTTTGATATTGTTTTAATGTCACTTTTGCACCATTTATAACTTTTCTGGTATATTTTTAAATGTTTATACATTAGCGTACTGTATGTTGTAATGAACAGAATAGAGGAAATCAGCTCTAATATACATTATTTAGGTATGAATACTGGTCAGAGACTCCGTCGTAAATCCAAGGCGTTGGTAAACGAGTATGTCGCTAAGTGAGGAGAGGCTGTAGTATAAAGGTAGAAGTAGTGTTATATATATCTGCTCCCTTCCCTTCGTGCTTCGGTGTGGCTAGTTGATGATTCAGGTCAAACCAAAATATTGTAGGTTTCTTCTTTTATGTGCGGGTTATATGGGTATTGTTCCAGTCATGGTATTGTGCCTTTTTATCCTTTGTGTAATAAACACCATTCAGTGGCACAAATACAAACAAATAAAATAAAACACAAACAGGAAGAGCACGGGAGCTCATCAGTGTACCAACACAAACAGGAAGAGCACGGGAGCTCATCAGTGTACCAACACAAACAGGAAGAGCACGGGAGCTCATCAGTGTACCAACACAAACAGGAAGAGCACGGGAGCTCATCAGTGTACCAACACAAACAGGAAGAGCACGGGAGCTCATCAGTGTACCAACACAAACAGGAAGAGCACGGGAGCTCATCAGTGTACCAATGCCCCGAGTTACAAATATCTGCACTTGTGAATTTAGCAATTAACATCCAGTTACGGAGTATTTTTACAACCGACGATACACATTACGAACATACGTCACATCTTGTATTATTGTTTTCATGCAAACTTATTTGTAAGCTGAAACACCAAGAATGTAACTTGTTTGTAAATTGAAACACTAGCAGTACAACTTGTTTGTATGTTGAAACACAGCAACACAATTCCTGCTTATCCCTAACTTTCAAAATTTTTGACTAAAAATCCGAAGATATGTATGTATGTTCATGATTAAATATGTGTGTAAATTTGGGGCATTGGTAATTGATAACAAAAGTGACATTGAAGAAGAAACACAGTTGCAGAGGAAGCTATTATTGTATCATTTTCTGCTGTTTAATTATCCATTTGTAGTTACAGGGGGTATCGTTTATACATCTTGTAAGTTTCTGACCCCATGCGGTAAGCAAAAATTGCCGGCGGGTGGAAAAGAGTAATTTTTCATTATCGAATGCATCAAAAATGCCAGATAACATGTTTGTGTTATCATATATTAAGTGCTTAGTACACCGAGGAATAAAAAACAGATAAAATAGTAAAATAAATATACGTGGTACGTAATGTATTTTCCGGCATATAAGACCCACATTTTTTCCCACAAAAAGTCTTGTAAAATCATCCTGGACCTTATATGCTCAAGGTCAGGGTCAACGGTAAGCTTTGTGTTACTAGTTGTTTACTAATGTTATGTTACAGCTGCTTGGACACATCGTCTTATGTGCTCGTGTGGGAAACATCGTCCTACATATGCCTTATATGCTCGTTCACCATATATATATCAGAAAATACGGTACATTACATAAGAAAAACATAAAAAAGAGCACTGCAGCAGGCCTAGTGGCCCATTCTGAGCAGGTTCAAGTCACTTACTGGCCTAAGCTAGTCAGGTGCAAGTCACATCCACTTAAGAAGGAAGGAGCACTGCCTCAGACCCATTAGCACAAGTTAGTCAGGTCCAACTCACACCCACCCACGCCCACTCATGTATTTGTCTAGCCCATTTTTAAAACTGCACAATGTTTTAGCTTCAGTGTCGCTGCCGGAGAGTTTGTTCCACTCATCCACAACTCTTTTGCCAAACTTACCTTAAAATATGGTGCTGGTTGCCCTTTCCTTTCCTGTTGTGCAAAAAATGGCAGAAAAGCTGCAAAAGCACCGAACATAATGAACAGTGGCTCAGTTGAGACATGTAGGTTAGTACAAACAGGAAACGTGCCCGTCTCATGCTCAACAGATGGAGGATCGAGCTTCCACCATGTCTTGTGCCAAATGTCCCACATGGGTTTAGCACCTAACATGAAATAAACAAAATAGTGGCTCAACTAAAAGGGAACAAAAACACGGAACAACAACAAGAGGGTGCCGAATAAGCAGGGGCCTTCTCATACCTGTTTGTGGCTACAACAGCAGAGTGACGCCCATGGTGCCCCATCTACATTACTCTCTTCATCGTATAATTTTTCAAAATTTCCACTGGTAGTAGCACATACGACCCTTTTTTGTAATTCATTCCACTTGCCTACCACTCTTTAGAAAAATTTCCTAAAGAATAAAAAGGCACAATACCATGACAGGACTTGTTAATGGTTCAAGTTGGACCGAAACATTGATGTAAATTCCTCTCTACTATATGTGGGTTGTGTAAAAATTTCCTAGTATCTCTTTGCCTCCACTTTCTTAGTCTACAATTGTGGCATCTTATCATCTTTGTTCTGGGTACAAAAACATTGTCTTTGTAGAGCTTTCTCTAACTTGATAAAGCTCTACTCAGTACATTGTCCCAGTAAATGCTGTAGAGCTTTATCTTACTTGATACAGCTCTACTCAGTACATTGTCCCAGTAAATGCTGTAGAGCTTTATCTTACTTGATACAGCTCTACTCAGTACATCATCCCAGTAAAGACTTGCTCTGCAACGTGTTTTTCGTTTGTAAATTAGAGACCCGTATTATTAGCAAACGTGAGGGGAGTGTCGTCAATGCTTGTAATAGGCCTCCTTTGTAGGCCTATCACAAAATATGTGGACGAGGTCATTTCATGACTTGATAAACTAATTTTGCCTATGATCTTTACATGCATTTTCCAACACAAATGATGAATTACTGTCCAAACTCGTAGAGAGCTGCATATCTAAACAGCCATGCATGATATAGAGAGCTGTGTAATGTATATCTAAATTCAGCTGTTTAAAAAGTTACAAAATGTACTACGGTGGTACCTCGGGATACGAACTTAATTCATTCCAGAAGGCTGTTTGGGTACCGATACCGAATGAATTTGTTCCCATAAGGAATAATGTAAATTAGATTAATCTGTTTCAGACCCCCAAACCCCCAAAAATACACTTAAAGAAACACTTACACACACTTATATAACTGTTTGAGTTTTGAGTTGTTCGTATCCCGAGGTACCACTGTATATGTAAACTCGGCTGTCGAAGATATAGATAGCTGTGTGATATTTCTATACTGCTATTTATAACCAGCAGAGCTATAATGCATGTCTAAGCAACAGTCTGAAATATAGAGATCAGCGTAATATATGTCTGGACAGCTGTTTATGTTCTAGAGAGCTGTGTAACACAGGAAGGCCTCACATATACAGTACTTATTCAGATTCCATGTTTTTATTGGCTTCAAATTGAGCCATTGTTCGCCATGTTCCATCCACTGGTGATAGTCACAGTCGGGTGGAACAGTGGCCCAGTTGAAAGCCAACAGAGACACGTAACAATGCAAACAGTCACTGTATATTCGGGGCCCTCCTGTGTACGAAGATGAAGCCTACACAATTCGTGCCATATCCAAAGATATGACTCCACATATCTACACTGGATAAACATTTGTGGCCATATCAATCCTCTTAGAATAACCATATCATGTTGTTACAAACACTAATTGTTACCTAGTTTTAGGTCAGTTATAGTTGGCATATTATGTTAATTATATTCCCAAAATGTTACACTTTTATATAATTTTGCTACATGGTCTAATTTCTTTAGTATTTTGACTACAAGATGGTCTTTCACTGACTTTGGAAAATAACAAGAGTGATATATATTTTTGCGTGCTTCAACGTTTATTCCAGAATGTATATAAATTTACTTTTAAGCACATTATTTGTGGCCAAAAGTCGAATTAATTTTCTTGTGCCAAATACAAAGTAAGTTAAGGTTATGTTGAGAGAATTAGTGACTTGCAAGGAGGCTTCACATTGGTAGTTAAGATGCACTTAAAGCAATGGGAACTTTATGCACCATTTTATCCAATTGTGACTTTATCCAGGTGACGTATGGTAAAGACACACGAGATAAAATTTTGTTGGGATTTTTAACCCTGGAGGGTTAGCCACCCAGGATAACCCAGGTAGGGAGTGTTAGCCACTCAGGATAACTTGGGGTGGGGAGTGTTAGCCACTCAGGATAACCTAGGATAGGGAATGTTAGCCACCCAGGATAACCCAGGATAGGGAATGTTAGCCACCCAGGATAACCCAGGATAGGGAGGGTTAGCCACCCAGGGTAACTCAGGATAGGAAGTATTAGCCACCCAGGGTAACTCAGGGTAGGAAGTGTTATCCACCCAGGATAACCCAAGAAAGTAAGTGCATCATGAAGGACTGGCTGTCTTATTTCCATTGGGGTCCTTTAATCTTGTCCCCCAGGATGCCACCCACACCAGTTCACTAACATCCAGGTACCTACTTACTTGCTAGGTGAACAGTGACAGCAGGTGTAAGGAAACACACACAATGTTTCCACCCAGCTGGGGATCGAACCACGGCGAGAGCGTCCTGTAATGTTTTAATAAAGATGAACAAACGCTAAGATGTGTTTATTAGAAAACGTCTCCGTACTGATTACAGAATTTTAAAAGAAAAACTCATTTTTCTTTTTAAGTCACCCTGCCTTGGTGGGATATGGCTGGTGTGTTGAAAAGAAGAAATCCATACTGGGACATTATTCGCTCCCAGTGTGGGAGCCATTTCCCGCTGAGGCAAGTGACTTGAAAAAGAAGAAACGCCTTCATCATCACTCACTCCATCACTGTCTTGCCAGAGGCGTGCCGACTCAACAGTTCAAAAACCACAAGTTGTTGGTATTATATACCAGGTTTTCACCATATTGTACGGCACAAGATAAAACCCCCCAGTTGGTAGAAACCTACATGTAAAAGGTTCCTTGGCTCTAAGTGTTTTCTGATGACCATTTGTCAGCTGATAGCCATTTGTCAGCCGACAGCCATTATTCCACAGCCTACAAAACTACTGCTGTATCTGTGTGTTTTCAATTTATTACTAATATGCAATATGTTAAAGTTTGTTGTGGAACATATTGCAACTTTGCATATCATTCTAGGCAGACATTCTTTTGTCACACACTAGTGTATTTACACATTGCTTTGTAGGGCGAGAAATCACAGTTAAATGTTTGACAGCAATTATGAGAAAAATATCTGTGAAAGAGATAACAGAATGGAGGTGCTTTAGTACGTTTGTATGTGCATCTTCAGTGTGCTATGGTGTGTGTGTGTGTGTGTGTGTGTGTGTGTGTGTGTGTGTGTGTGTGTGTGCATGCGTGTGCGTGCGTACGTACTCACCTAATTCTGGTTGCAGGGGTTGACTCATAACTCCTGGACCCGTGTCTTCACTGGTCGCTACTAGGTCCACTCTCTCCCTACTCCATGAGCTTTATCATACCTCTTCTTGAAGCTATGTATGGATCCTGCCTCTACTACATCACTCTCCAGACTATTCCACTTCATGACAACACTATGGCTGAAGAAATACTTCCTAACATCCCTGTGACTCATCTGAGTCTTCAGCTTTCAATTGTGATCCCTTGTTGTTGTGTCCCATCTCTGGAACATCCTGTTTCTTTCCACCTTGTCAGTTCCTCTCAGGATTTTAAATATGAATATCATGCCTCTCCCCTGTCCCTCCTGTCCTCCAGTGCTGTTGGGTGTGTGTTTGTGTGTGTTTATCTGTTTGTTTTAACACGCTGGTTGTCTCCCACCAAGGCAGGGTGATCCGAAAAAAGAAACACTCTTACCATCATTCATGTAATCAGTCTTGCCAGAAGTGCACGGATACAGTAGTTTAAATGTCACTCCAGACAGTAAATATATATACATGTATACACACATACATACATACATATACATACATACAGGATCCCAGAAGGAGATTGAAATATACAGACATGCTAATCTCCCAAGTTAATGTCTCCATGTCAGTTATTATGCATACATACATATACATATATACATCTCTAATACAAATTCCATAAAAGTAATTATGTATTTTGTGTATGAAAGTATAAATGTATAATTGTTACAGTAATATAGGTCGGCCATCACTAATCCGGCATCACTGGGACCTGTAGTGAGCCTAATTAGTGAGTTTGCTGGATTACAGAGTGGTTAGGTTAGAATACACTTAACCCTTTGACTGTTTTCGACGTATAAATACGTCTTACGAGCCAAAGTTTCTGACGTATATATACTCAATAATTTTAGCGGCTTCAAATCAAGCGGGAGAAAGCTGGTAGGCCCACATGTGAGAGAATGGGTCTGTGTGGTCAGTGTGCACCACATAAAAAAAATCCTGCAGCACACATTGCGTAATGAGAAAAAAAAACTCTGAACGTTTTTTTGGAATAAAACGCCGACTTTGAGGTGTATTTTCGTATAGTATTTATCGTTGTATTCGCGTTTTCATGGTCTTAGGTGATAAAATGGAAAACATATTACAGAAATAGAGATGATTTTCATTACTTTGACGATGAAAACGACCTTGAAACTGAGCTCAAAGTAGCGGAAATGTTCGATTTTTACCAATGTTCAGGAGTAAATAAATCACACGACACGTCCAATACACGTCAACTGGGGAGTCTAATATTCTTTCACTAGTGCACTGATATTATTTATACCATTTTTACAATAATGCAGTAGTCTGCATAACAGTAAATTTTGTATTTTTTTGTATGAATAAAAAATCAAAATAGAAAGCAATAATAATATAAGAGGGGCCTAGAGATGTGACTAATGAACAGAGCATATGTTATTTTAGTGCCACGAATGTCTACCTTGTTTATTCTGGACCCTATTTTGAAATTGGCATCTTTTTTAGTTTGCGTGAAATTGGCCAAATTGCCAATTTCTGACCATCATATTGGGTAGTTCAAATTAGTAAATGGGAGGTTTCTTGTACTCAGCTGATAGATAAAATGGAGTTCTAAAGAAATAGCTATGAGTTTGGTCAACTGGAACAATGGAATTGGCAGAAAATAGGGCTCAAAGTCGGCGAAATCGCCGATACGCATATGTCGCCGAGACCGATAACTTCGCGGGAGCGTAATTCCATGATTTTTCGACCAAATTTTGAACTTTTGGTGTCATTACCATCGGGAAAAGATTCTCTGTCATTTCATAAGAAAATTTTTTTTTTTTTTTCAAAAATTGAGCGACATAGAATGACAGTTTCAGAAAGGGGCCTGAAACAGTCAAAGGGTTAATTAACCTATCAATACAGACTCTTTCTGCTACATCTTCTCATTTTCATCACTACTTTCTCCACCACTGGCTTGTTGCTGGGGATTTACAACCATCTGCACAATTT